ATACAATTAAATACAATATTCCATTGTGGAAGCATCTTTTTATATGTTTTGTAATATATTAATTACAAGAAAATAACATGGCACAAATGTAATTAATCAGTTTGCAACGCGCATACTACATATCGTTGTCGTTAACGCGTCGAAGAGTAACAAAAAAAAGTTAAACGTGGTATAAGGTTGAAATCATACGCAGTTGTAAAAACTCGTACGACAAATAACTAGGCTAATCGTGTGGAATGTGTTGCATTTTATACATAAATACAAAAGGGACGATTTTGTTCACGGTGAAACACGGCAAAACAGTCTTCGTCTTCAGATATGATGTCGTACTAACCGGAAGCTCACGCACGCGTCTCGCAAATTATTATTCATACACTTCGCTCATATCATTTCGACGTGCGATCAGCGGTATTGTATCGAAAGCCACAAAAGCTAGTGCGACAATAGAAAGTATCTCGTTTCAAAGTAAGCGTGATGATGATTAAGTTTCAAATCGATAGTGCCGTGAACAGGGCGTCCTATCTGTCGCACAACTTCGCGGAAATTTATCAAGAAAGATTTGACAGAAGATTATTTTAAACATTTTAATTATTTTAATTTAAATTATTAGATATTTCAGTAATATAATCTCAAATTAAGTTAAAGCTAAAATCTATTTTACAAATATTTCGTTATTCATTAAAGCTTAATTTAATGAGATAAAAATTATTAGTAATAATTAGGAAATAATTTAGTCTTTGTAATTTAGGACACTCTGTACGCAGCATTCGTAAATTCTAAGCTTGTCGTTCTCAATGAGCAACACTAACTTCATCACAGTTGCATAGTGTGACATACAGATTTTAAAATGCTGATTGGAAAACTTTGATGTGGTCTTTTCTTCCAGAAATCGCACGGATGATTATAATGCATAAGTATTATTATTAATAGTAATAAAAGCGGTCTTATCAATAGTGATCAACAGTCGTACGACTTTAAGTACATAAAAATAGGACAAATTAGTTACTAATTTATATTTGGTATAGTGATCGCTTCGCGCGATATAGTTTGCTCTTGATTTTCTACAGAGCGTTTCGTTCATTCGGTCATCTCAAAAATTGTTTCTGCGTATTTCTTCAATTCGCAGCTGACAATTAGTCAACTTCGCAAAATTTATACTCGCTGCTGCAAAGAGTCAGCTTCAGCAAATCTGCATCCATTCAGCACATTTTCATTTTTACTTCATCATTGTCATTTTCCGCAATTTGTGCAAAATACCGCCCGTAAAAATGGCGCTCAGTATCCCATTCGAATCATTCGTTTCCAATCGCTCGCTCACAGTTTTCTTTCTCTTTCATTCTCTTGTTAAATAAATATTCACCTCTCTCGCACAATTCTTCAATCGTCATTCACTCCATCATGCAGCTTTTCTTCCATTTGTCATGATAACGAAAACACGCCGAGACTCAGACAAGTGGCATGTTACGTCATTTTTTAAATTTTCTCATTTGTCAAAGACTCGCTGCGAGATTACATTGCTCAGTTCGTCACGTTATTGTCGCTCTTGTCGTCATCCATGCTGTTGAATACCAGGAGGTCCTCCGTCTCCGTAGATTTCCTTCCCTGCATGTCGATATAGGACTGAGGACGTTCGTTAGGTGGTGTCCTCAAATCGTTCTCGCTATTGCTTGTCACACTGACGTTCCTCAGCTTTATAGGACTCTCGTAGTGGTTGGCGTTCAGGCTCTCGGGTCGGTCGTTCACGTAGGGCGACTTCACGGGTTCTTCGGGGAAGGACGCTACAGTCGGTTGCCAGAACGCCTGCAACTTGTCTACCTTGTCGCACTTGGTGACCGGCTCGGAGGAAATCCGGCCCAGATAGTTGACGATGTCTGTCTTCACGGTATTGGCGGTACCGTTGCTCAATTGATCGTTGCCAGTATCTAAAAGAATTTCGACAATTTCAATACAAATCGAATTATTTCAAAATTAATTAAATATTATAAGTGTTTTAATATTTTTCATTGCGTTATACAGCATTATATTATTAACACAGATTATTGAAAATAATTGATTTATAAAATTTTAAAATATCTAATATCTTGCACGCCATCGAATCGATTTATTCCACTTACCATTCGGACTATCTAAGACTTGCAGGGACGCGAAATAGGCCTGATTGTGGACGGTTCGTGGATTAAGATCGAGATATTCGACGCCATCCTCCAGCATGCGTTCCCAATGCATAGTCAGTTCCTTGAAGGACGGTCGCATGGCAGGCTCTTGGTGCCAACAGGACACCATCAGTTTATATCTGAAAAAAAAAAAATATTTTACAGTATAACCCAGTCTAGATTTCCCTAGAAGTTGTAAACATAAAAAAGTGACTCTGATTTTCTGTCTGCGGAAGAAGAATGTGACTTGTAAAATGAAAGAATGTACTTTTACGACGAGCTTTACGAGCCAAGGAGGTTAACCTAGTTTATTTTACTGGCATTTTTCCAGTGTCATAGTTTCATCAATGATAATTGAAAATATCGCGCGTACGCTACTGTTTGAAAGCTTAATCATCTCTGTGTGAATTATTTTTAGCCGTCTTATCATACGTATTGCTAATTTAGTAATACATGAGGTTGATAATATACGGTGATCTAATCTTCGCGAAGATAAATATTTCATATGTGACATTAAGTCACGCTACTGTGTGATCAAGAACTCTCTTTGATAATAATTGCGCAACGAGTCGCTCGTAATTATGAATATCATATGACATATGATGGTCGCACGCACTTGATTTTATCAGCGTCAGTTTGCTGCAAGTTAACGCGTATGCTAATTACAACCAGTCCGGAAAAGCTCTGTTTAAAAAAAATATGAATTTGTCGAGAGACGTAGCATAACTTTTTAAAAGATAATTGCAAAAGACAAGCATGGAATACAACTGTTATATATTTGAAAGGCAATTTAGATAAAATTAACTTTTCTATAAATGCATTTGGCAATAATCTTTAGAGGGATACTTAAAAAAAGATGACGCGATTGTCGAGCACTCACAGCTGTTGCGAACAGTTGGGCGGCTTCTCCATACGGTAGCCGGCCTTCAGTAGATTGTAGAGATTATGTACGTCCACTCCAGGGTACGGCGAGGCTCCTAACGTGACCAACTCCCACAGGAGCACGCCGAAGCTCCAAACGTCCGATTTGCTGGTGTACACATGGTCGGCCAGGGATTCCGGCGCCATCCATTTTACGGGCACTGCGGGCAGCAATCGTAAAACCTTGAATAACGCGCAAAGTAGTACGAGTCGGGCTTGCGCGAGTCATTAAAAGTGTTTTTCCCGCGAATCCGCCGAGAGAGAGAGTTACGAGCGGATTACTTCGTCGCGGTTAAATTAGGGTCGTTGGTATCAAACTAAACTGCTGAAAAAAAAGCATTATTTGCGACTTGCAAAGTCGCATTTAATTCTCTTTTAAAAAATTACTTTTAGTGCTGCACTGTTCCGATAAATTGCAAGCTTTGTAATTGTGTAAGATTTGTAATTAATTTTTATCTATTATTAAACAAATACTGAAACAAAAACATGAAATTATTAAGTTATTATCGAATTATTATTATATCGATAGTGATAATTCAGCAATAATAATGTAAAAAAGTCTGCAAATTTTGAATTGAATAGAGTGTTAAATTAAGTGGATGATTATCTACTAATTAATACTATTAATTGGTGAATCAATCTCACCTCGTCCTTTGCTTCTCTTTAAATACGCGTCGTCCTCGTACACATCGCGAGTTAGACCAAAGTCCGAGATCTTGCAGACCTTGCCAGTTGCGAGCAAAACATTTCTCGCAGCGAGATCTCGATGCACCAACTGCAGTGCGGAGGAAACTTTGATTAATTGCTAATGACTTGACCGAGTTGAGACATTTCTTAACTTTTCCGTCCGCAGAAATGCAGTCGTGATCCGCATGCTTTTAAATTACAATACATTAAACAAACTAGCAACGGTGGTTGGAATGCCACAGGAATTTCTAATTTATTGATTTCTGGTTGATAATTATACTTTAAAACAGATTTAAATGTTTCGGAAATAACGAGAAGAAGTTTAATAATTTGAAAAATTTCAAATAATTCGATAAACGCTCGGAGGAGATTTTTCATCGTACCTTAATATCGGCGAGATACGTCATTCCTTTGCTGATTTGCCAGGCGAATGAGAGAATATCTCGTGGCGTTATAGTATAGTTTGATGCATTATTATCGGTGCATTGCGACTCCTCGCTGGCATTGATCGCTGAAGTGGAAAGCAGAGACGTCGAGCCGGGTACTCTGTCTTCCGTCTCTAAGTGCCGGCTGCGTCTCAGATAGTTGCTGAAATTACGTGTAAATTTATCCTATAAGCGAGCAATATCCGGGAAACTGTTGGTCAATAATCCGTTAGCTCTCGAGAAACTGGATTACAATGGCGGTGAGCGCCGGTATGTGCCGTATCCGTGGAAAAATTTAATTACCAGCTGGCAACTGGTTTCGCAAAGGTTATTGTCCCGGCGATGGTAGAATTCCACGTGACGGAATTCCGCATCGCGGCAAATTCCCGGAGTTATTTCCGCGTTTGTAAGCCCGCGTTCGTTGCAATGCGTTCATTTAGACGCGTGTATGGGGATATCGTAGGTATAAATGAGATAAAATTGCGCGGCTTTTAATGCCATTCCTGAATCATAACGAGACAATGAAAATACCAGACTACAAATACCGACTCAGGAGCGTTATTTATTCATTACAGGCACTTACACTTTAATAAAAGAGAACCTTTCTTTTTAATTTTCTAGGATAATGCACTTCTTTTATTCTATTAAGAAGGGCAAAGGCTCGTTTTGTTGCAAACGATGGTGAGAATAAAAGGCTTGTTCGAGCCGGACAGCGGAATTGTTTGCGATTATTATTTTCCGTCTATTTTCGCACAAAGTTTTCACAGAACATTTCTCTAATGTTTCTTGTCACATCTCATTACAGTACATTACGAAAGATAAAATCGTCATCGTAGAAGTTAAAGCCAGAAGTTTCGATAAGCATGATGCACGATTCAGTCGCGTCGATTCACTTCCAGTAGTTCGTAGTCGGACTTTTATATCGATAAGACCAGATGCTCGCGTAAAGCGGAAAGGTCATAAATAGTTCCAAGACAGCGGTCGAATATATCACGGCGCGTACTCACCGTAAGGAGCCGAATTCGGCGAATTCGATGATAAGGTAGACGGGCGCGCCTGGCGGTGTCGTGCACGCTCCCAGCAGCCGGATCACATTCGGATGCTGCGCCTCCTTCAGGAGCTGATATTCCGATAGCAAATCCGCCAGTTCAGACGTGCATGCATCTTCCTTCAAAGTTTTCACAGCGACAGTCGTGGCACCGGGCATTCCGCCGATATTCATGGCTTTGGCGCGCAAAACGCGCCCGAACTCGCCTTCGCCCAGCACCTGCTCGATCTTCAGAAGTGATCGCGGAAATTCCCACTTCGGATCCGGCTGAAAATTCCACGTGAAAATTCGAAAGTTAGATATTTCCATTTGCGCGAAGCTACATTCTACAATTAATACGTGACAATTTTAATTGTCTAATTTAATTAAAAGTCAAAGAAGGGTCTTTGGCCATTAAGAGATTAAAATCTTGATATCATATTACTTTTGAACATTTATACTTATTAGGTTGAATTAATTTATTTATTTATATTCAACGACGCCGGTTAATTAGATTACCCTCCCACTTTAATCTCCGCGAGTTTTCTTTGCAACATACGAAGAACGCTTCGGAAGATTCGGAGTGAGAATGGCGAGCGCGAGCGCCGATTAATAAATCCTTTCGTGCTAGTTACGATAAAAGCTCTACTCCCTCTAATCCGACGTCACGCTTCGCTGGAACGTGTTTCGTGTCAGACGATATCTGCTCGTGTTACTTCGCACGAGTTGCTTTGCAAAGGACGCGAGCGGATATCCAATTAAACGACGGTTTGGGAATGATAATGGGATCACGTAGTTAATGAGAGACACCGCTTTTCGAATTAGCAGTCGTTTGGAATTTAGTAATATTGTAACTATATTCACTGAGAATTTTACCACCTTTGAATGGGTGCCATTAATCTCGCGCAAGGATTAACGTGGATGAATAGACGCCGTATGAATCACCGAGCAAAGGTTGCGCTTGAGAAAATATGCATATTTCTCGTATCTCGTTTTATTTCAAATAACTGATTCGAATAAACTGATATATCACGAAACTTTATCTCGCGCCAATATGATAGAACTTTTTCGCATTTTCCAATTCACTTTCGATATATAAATTTTGTAACACCGCAATATTGACTCGTGAAAGTGAATCGCGTCACTGCCGACATCTTCGCATTTCCTCCATCAGACAGCGGAATTTCCCTAGAATTCGTATCTATTCTTTGTCACGATGACGAAAATGCGTGGGCGCGGGTCGTCGCGAAATGGTATGATTTTGGCGTAGCGTCTTTCTCAGCAATTTTAACCAAGATAAATGTATGACGGCTGACGTAAATAAAGAGATAATGTGATAGCACGACCAAGTCATGTTGCGAGTAAGCAATTTAAGGGTTGAAATTATTAGAGTAATTAAACGTGGAAATTAAACGTCGAAATTAGAATAAATTTAAAAAGATAGAAATCAAAATTATTATAATAATTGGAGCATTAATTTTGCTCTCATCAGGCTCTTCTCGCAATAAAAATCATTTGCTTTTAAGATCTAACAACGAAATTTATACGACGTAAGAGTGGTTGAAGGGTTCATACGTGCGTTACGAAAGAGTTTACGTGTTCCGTAAATCCACTGTTCGCTGAACTGAACAAGCCGTGTTACAGTCACTTTCGTTTCAACTTCATCGAATAAAGGCGACGACTTTATCTCGCTGATGTCGCTTCAAGGAGAACGCACCTCGCAAAGAATAGAACTATCGTGAATTCTCTTCGCTGACGTTTCACAGCGTTGCTTGTCTTTTTCATCGACATTTTTACCGCGTAAAACCTCCTTCATTCGATTGTGGGTGTTCCGAGCAGCGATATGCGGTTGCACCTCTCTGTCTGCTCAAAATATGAGAGGAAAGTTTATGTAAAAATATTACTTCAGCAATTCAGAGTTTATATTCTAAACTTTATAATGACAAGATATGAGTTATAAAATGTACGCGTTTTAGAATTTATAATTTTATCGTCTTTTTTGACGATGTGTGATCAGAATTTGCATTTCAATTAGCTTTGAAGAGAGAAAAAAATTGAGTCAAAGGTTTTTTTATTAATTAAATTTTTTTTCAAGAAACAAGTGTGGTATAAAGTAACATAATAAGACGTTTTACACAGATTTTGCGATTGTCTGAAAAATTCTGGCGATTTCCGCAGACGTTTGTTAATTACGCCAAACAATTTCGAGAATTGTTCCGAGATGCGGGAGCCGAACTTTAATTTCGGAGTAACTCTCGGTGTAAATACGAACGGTGTGCAAAAGTTTCCTTAATCGGGGGTTGCGCGCAGCCGTCGGATAAGACTTCTTTGCATATTTCGTTCAACGTAGAGTAGACGCTCTACGTGCCAAGGTCGTTATTCACGGCTGCAACGCGAGAAGCACGCGGTAAAACATGCGATCGTCCAAGATATCGGAAATTGTTCGTGATACGAGGAATGACAGGATGAGAAAAATTTGCTTCTCTGAAATAGTAAAATAATAAAATCGATAAGCATCTTCTTTTCGCATTGCCATTTGCATAATTTGCAAATACCACGGAATTGCATTTGTTCTGAAAGACAAACGAGGATTGTCAAGATATTTACGACATTTTTTAGATCTGCAAAATTTTTCAGCTTTCCAAGATTTTTTAAATGAAATAAAATTTTTTTTAGATATTGAATTTTAAATTAAAGTGAACTTATTCTTTCATCGTCAACTTGAGCGCCGCATACGCGATCTTTCCGAGAAAACGCAACGTACATTTTAAGGAAGCGTATCTTTTGCAATGTAATACATTTCTAAGAGATTAGCGATCGAAGAATACGTGCAAACAATGGCGTTAGCAGACAAATATCCCAGATGAACTTGAAGACCACGTGAAGCTTGACCGAGTTTTCCTGTTCTGTTTAGATTCCAAGAAGCGACTTCGCTTGCGAATTTCACGTTTCTCCGTGCGGAAAGCTGAGGGAGCTTACGCGCTTTAGCGCGTTGCTTGCGGGATTATGCGGTTGCAAACATGCGAGCACGCACGTACAGCGTGTCACGTGCGGGCGGGTGGTTACGGAGAAACTCGCAGATCGTATTGCGCAATTAGAGACGCAGATGCATGAAGAACCGATTTTCTTTTTTGGAAACATATAAATGTTGAAATAAAAATATTTTAGTGATGAAAGTTTGAAGCAAGAATCTCTGTGCCTTAAAAAAATTAGAAAATTTTGAAAAGACATAAAAAATACTCTTAGATATAACAAACATTAAAATAATAATTTTATTTAGGATTGCAAGATTAAAAATAATTAGTTTCGAAGATATCGCAGATAAATTTAGATAAAATTGGTCGATAAAATAGTTTTATTACCATCAAAGAATGATTAAAGAACGCCTTTTTTACGTCGTATCACTCTGGAAAGTTTCAACCTTGCGGCGGCTAGATAGTATCGATTTAAAAGTAACGCTAAAAAGTGGAGTAATAAAAAAGTTTCTGCAACTTTGTAACTGTATTAACATTGAATCAAAAATAACATACCGGGGATTAAAAGCAGTATATCAGCGAACTTAATTTTTGTTATTATAAATATGAAAATATGTATCTCATTCTCTAACTGTTGTATTTCTGTATTTTCACGAACAAACATCACTTGAATTTTTGTCGTGGACATTACTTTTATATTTATGTCGCAGATAGAATCTCTCAATGAATTTTTCAATACATTTTCGATTAAATTATGCCGATTGTCACTGAAGAGCTCAATGTAAGAATGAGTCCATAATTTATAAATTGATCTCACACTCTTACATTGAATTTTTTAATTTCTGGTTGATATTAGTGAAATTGACATCTTACCGGACAAGTCTTAGGCAGCAACAGATGACGATTTGCCGCCGTGAAGGTGTCTAGACCGATCAGAAGACCATCACCGCGATCGATGTAGTCGGACGGCAAAATACCAATACCATTTGCCGCATCATCCACCCTGTGTTTGCATTCCCGTCGAGCGCCCTTCGCGGCCATCCTGGAACGTAGAGTATTGCGATGCGGAAGACGAGCTATGTTGGTTTATGAAGCCATCTTGGCTTAGAGCAAAATGAGATAACTTGGAATTAAGCTAACGATGCCATTGTTAATTATGGCAGTGTAAATTAATTTAGAATTCTCCACGAGAGCAATTATCAATTATCACAGAATAATTGTGCGCTTCAATTCAATTGATATAAAAGAAGAAATTTTTATAGCATTTTATTGAAGGAAAAAGATTAATTGATTATATTTTATTTCGGAATAAAATGCGTTTAATATTTTTTTTCTATTCGATTTGAATTATATGACGATATATTAATGCAGCTTAGCCAGAGTTGGCTCATTGTGGTCAATGGTTACTTTCAGAGAGGGATTCTAATAAACATTGACCCAAATTCGAAAGTTTAGATAGCTTGCGGGCTGGCGAGCAAGATACTAAGCGTTGGTTTCCTCTCACTAATTTGATAAAAATTTGGCAAAAGTTAAATTTTTAGTCTTCAGTTTTTTTATAATTTTACTGTTCTCTCTAATTTAAAATTGCAATGTGAAAAAAATTATAAAGTTATAACATAAGATAACGTGTGCGTCTTAAAATGTATAGCGGAAATAAAAAAGTGATTGACTGTGAGCTGCGTACGTAAAAAGACGTCGCAATACGCTGAAACTTCTGCAATTTTGTTCGCTGCGAAAACTTTCGCCGACAAGTTTGACTTTATTTTTGCGTAACTCAAGCAAATGTATTCTTTCCTCTTGTGAAAAATTCTTTGGACTTATATTCTTGCAATGAATTTCACGATTTGCAAGAAGCTATGAAATTTAAACATAAATAATATTAATGATATATGAAAATATGAAATATTTTGCTAACGTGAAAGTGATGCAGACTTCAAACAAATTGACACACGGTGCATGGCGATAAGCCTATCGTGCGGAACAATCGAGATTTTATAGACTATCGACCCGCGGTATCTGCGTACTCCCTGATGTTTGGATGACAGTTTAATGTTTTTTTTATTCTAGAAATATGAATATGCATTCATTTGCATATTTATTGGCGTATTTAAATTTGGTAACAAACGCAATATCTAACCAAATCTTTTGCGTTTTCTGCATTTCACCAAGTCGGGGACTAAGTAAATCATATTCTAAATCCGAGTTAATCGCAAACTTTACAATGTCCTTAATTCCTTGTAAACACGAGCTTTAGACTGATAAGCTCTGCATAAGCCACTGGTTTAGAAAGCGATAGCTCACCAAATCCTAACATCCGTCCAGAGCGAAAGACTTCTAACGTGATATTGTCACGATTCACTGTCTTACATCATGACGCTATTATCTTTCTCTAAACAAAAGCTTCAATCTCTTCTAATTCTTTCGTTACTAAGGATTATAATGATATTTTAGATCGGGTTCTTTACTGTAATTTAGTAATAAATTTTAATAATAAATAATTTTTATTATTAATTTTTATGAAAGTGATTTAAAAAGATAAGTTTAGCTACATATCTGGATTCTTTTTTATGCAAAAAAAAAGCTTTTTCATCAGATATTGTATGATTTTGAAAAAGGCTCCATGTTAAAATTCTTTCGCAATGTTGAACGAAATTTCAAAATTGTATTAAAACATTATTTCATTATTATATAAGTAAGACTTCCTGGTTTCTTACCGATATCTCCACGTGACGAATGACCCCAGGATCACTATGAGTACAAACAGACTGGCTCCAATGACGCCTATCATGCATGTAGGGCCGCACGGTCCGCTGGATGCTACAAAAGCGTAAAGGACAAAGGTTAATATTATATAACGGAGTGAAAATAGACTCTTTGATATAAAATCACAAGAGAAAGGAGAAAAATAATTTAATTTTCTTATTTTCAAAGAGAATTCGAACTAAACTGAAAAAAATACGTTTGATGCTTTTTGTATCTTTGTATTTCAGTATCTACAATTACTGTAATTAATTGTACCACAACAACTCAGTTCAGTATACGCTTTACAACTTGTATTTGAGACAAATAACACGAGTTGCGTCGCGAGAGAGAGAGAGAGAGAAACTACCGACCTTTGCGTGCGCCCGGCGTGACGGTCCCATTTTTTTTGCCTCCGCCTCCAGATGGTTTCTTTGGCAAAAACTCGATTCCGCACTGACATTGCCCCCTATCATCGCAGGCACAAGTACTGAGGCCGCTCTTTATGCCGCGGTCGCCCTCGTTCATGTGGGCCAGGAAAACTTCGGCTGAAAACGCGAATACGACCGCTCTTAGATCGATCGAGGTGTCTCACAGATGAAGATCCCTCTTCAATAGCCCTTAAAGCTCTTTCGATGAGACGACAGTAACGCGAAATTCTTTTTCAAGAGAAATCTTTTGATATGAGAAAAACCCCAGAGTCCTTGTATCAAAATTGAGATGTTTCAAACATAGCTACACGCTTGCGATCTTTCGACATATACATTAAAAAAATCTCTTAAATAATAAATTTAAAATAAACTTCAAAATTTACTTTTTTGTTCAAAAACATCTCGATCATCACTTTTCGTCATTTGCCAATTGATTTCACCGACGTTATATAAGTGATTCCATGCAACACTGTAACATTTTGACACGACTGGTTTTGTTGTGCTAAGCGGATCGACTCACATTCAACGGTGCAGTCCTGCGGACATATGCGTGGATCGCTGCGCTCCAGCTCGTCGCATTCGTTATCCGGACAATGAGTCAAATCCGGCGAGCAGGTAGAGTAGTATTTCGACATTTGACCAACGCTGGACCGATTGTTACTTCTCCACATGCATCGACTCACGAAACTGTCGTTGCTACACACAAGTACATTAGTAAAGCCTTTTTATAGTTATGCTTATTGAATAATGGAGAGAGAGAGAGAGAGAGAGAGAGAGAGAGAGAGAGAGAGAGAGAGAGAGAGAGAGAGAGAGAGAGAGAGAGAGAGAGAGAGAGAGAGAGAGAGTAGAGTAG